CCACCACAACAACAACACAGCCACCTCAGAGATCCATCTTAAGTTAGGAATTCTGAGATAAGTATAGGCCTTGAGCCAGTACTTCCCCAAGAATCCCAAACCGAGATGCCATGAAGCTTCAAATCATTGATGCAACAAGCTTCAAAACCAGAACTTTAAAGGAGACATGTTTCAGGCATGTTCCATTGAAGCAAGGTCAAGGTATTATGATGGCTGCACTTGAATTTCAAGGTAAGGAGCCTCTCCCTAATGGTTTGCTTAACCATCTTGATGAGGATATGAGAGTCAACAACTTGGTTCCTGAAAATTCTTGCGTTTCTTTCCTTCCAAATATGATGAACAGTAGTAGAGAGACTGATCTTCAAGATAATAGTGGTCATCTTCTTGTCTTTTCACTGTTGAGCAGCCCATTCAATTAGATCAGGCCATTGCCTTTGTTGTCCTTGTTGATTGCACTGAAGAAGAATGAAGTTTCAAACTCTAGAGGAGTATTCACATTCAAAGAAGAGGTGGCTGTGGGTTTCATTTGACTTTCTACACAAAATGCATTGGGTGTCAACTTTATTTGAGAAAGCTTGGATTCTATCTTTGGTGCTCAATCTCATTTTATTGGCTAACCAAAGGATAAAGGCCATTCGAGGAATTGACTGACCAAACCAAACCAAATTATGCCAAGAAACCATACTAGTTACAATCCTCAAGTGATGCCATGCAGATTTGGCAGAGAAATTCCCATTAGTGGTAAGGGATCATCTCACAAAATCATTTCTGGTTTGATCAGGGAGGTAGATTGGCGTGTTGTTAAAGATATCCTAAACACTCAGGTGAGTCGAAGTAGTTCTGTTCCATTAGTTGTTGGCAATAACTCTACTGACTCTTGCTTCACTTGGAATTCTTGCTTGTTGCACTATATCAGAGCTTCTTTTTGGTAACAGGGGTCCATATGGATGCCAGTTGTCATGCCAAAAGCTTGTGTGTTGTCCATTCCTTACAATGTGCACCATTATAAGTCTTAGGAATTCCCTGAGTTATAATAGGTTCCTCTAAATGTGTGAGCAAGATTGGGGAGTTTTAAGCTCCCATAAGCTTCTATCCCTAATATAGTAAGCATGTATCCATTAGGTCCATAGGTTTTCCTTGTCATTAAACAATTGTCATAGATGTCTCAGGAGCAAAGCATTGTTCCATTCCTTCAACCCTTTTATATCCAAACCACTCTCACTTTTTGGCTTGCAAACATCATTCCATGCAACTTTAGCTCCAGTGTATTTGAGCTCAGGGCCCTTCCAAATGAAGGCCCTCAAAGTTTGTTCAAGCTTGTCTAACATTTTTTGTGGTGAGCTCAAGTGGATAGCCCAAAAAACATGCGTGCTAGTAAGCACAGAAATTACCAGCTGAAGCCTTCCTATGTAGGATAGGAATTTGTTGAGCCAATATTTAACCTTGTTATCAACCTTTTCAATGAAGCCCATGCAGTGTTGAGCCTTAAGCTTGGTGGAAACCAGTGGAACTCGAAGGTATGTGATAGGTAAGTCACCCATAGAGAACCTAAGTATCTCTATGATATGTGACCCCACCCCTTCAGGAACAACACTTAAATATATATTACTCTTTTCAATATTGGGAAGTAAGCTAGAGAGTTGACCAAATTGGACCAGAGATCTCTTCAATGTTTGAACAGAGATCACATCACCAGGATAAAATAACATCAGATCGTCAGCAAAGGAGAGCTAAAACATCTTGCGCTTAGAGCATCTCTAATGATACTTAAATTGGGGGTTGAAATTTATGTTGTGTTGTGTTATCAGGGACAGAAACTCCATGACAATTATAAAAAGGTAGAGAGATAATGGGTCTCCCAGTCTCAACCCTCTAGCATTAGAGAAGTAACTAGCTAGCTCATCATTCACATTAACTGAGAACATGACTATAGTAATGCAAGCAAGGATCCATTTTATCATTGTCATTGGAAAATTAAAGGCATCAAGCAGAAAATCCCACTGGACAGTGTCAAAGGCTTTCTTAATGTCAACTTTTAGTGCACATCTGGGGGGACCTGAATCTCTATGGTAGTCTCCCATAAGCTCCTGAGTTAACAGGATGTTGTACCCAATTCCTCTACCTTGGATGAAGGCTGCTTGGTTAGGATTGATAAGGTTTGGAAGGCATTTTTTGATTCTGTTGCTATAAGCTTTGAGATAGCCTTATAAAGAGTGTTACAAAATGATATTGGTCTGAAATCCCCCATAGCTGAGGGGTTTGGAATTTTGGGGACCAAGGTGATGATAGTGTTATTTAGCTCCCTAAGTAACTAACTCGTAGTCAAGAACTCTTTAATTGCTTTAGTAATATCATGCCCAATGATAGGCCAAGCTTTCTTAAAAAATAGAGCATTAAACCCATTTGGGCCAGGAGCCTTATAGTCATTTAGAGAGAAGATTATCCCCTTGATTTCTTCATTAGACACCTCTCTAACCATATCAGCAGCAATGTGTGGAGGGATTTTGCTTTGAACTACTGACTGCATACCAGCACTTCGCTCCTGGACTAGGGCTGAAAGTCTAGCTTGGCCAAACAAGTTGACAGAATAATTAACAACTTCTTCCTTCACTGCATGTTCTCCCTCTACCTTTGAATCATCCACCCTATCGAGCGTAAATATATTTTTCCTATTTCTTCTGCTATTCATTGTCTTGAAAAAATATAAAGTGTTCCTGTCACCTTCTTTGAGCCATTGGACTCTGGATTTCTACTCATAAAAAATTTCTTCATCATTGGCAGCTTGAGTTTAATCCTTTATGAGATGTCTTTCTTCTTGTCTCCATTCAGAATCAGTTGGGTTAGTGTCCAGTTTTCTTTGGCATCTCATTAAAGCTTCTCTTGTCTCTCTTGCTTTCGCTAAGACATCTCCAATTTCCTTGGTAATCCCTTTAAAAATAATTTTGAGACCTTTAAGCTTGCTGACAACTTGAAACTGGTAACTTCCTTGGATATTTTGAACCCAGATCTGCTGAACAAGGTCCAAAAAGTCCTCTCTTGCTACAATGTGATTGAAAAATTTAAAGGGGCACTTTCTTTTGGGGATCCTTGGACCAATTTGGACAATTGCAGGGCTATGATCAGAAACAATAGTAGGAAGAAAATCTGTCGTAGACATTTGGAATCTGTTAGTCCAAGCTTCGTTAACCAAAACTCTATCCAGCTTTCTAGCAACAACGGCTTCCTTTTCTCTTCTGTTGCTCCAAGTAAATTGAATCCCAGTATACCTAAGATCCATAAGTTCTGAATCTTGCAAACAAACATCAAAATCCGTAGTTTCACTTGGTGTTCTGATAGCATTGAAGTCTCCTAAAGCAACCCATGGTTTAGCAGCAACAAAAATTGAGTGGTGCCTAAGCCCCTTCCACAAAGTTCTCCTCTCAATGTCAACATTTGACCCATAGAAAAAAGAAGCAAAAAATTGTGAGTTGCTTTCAAAATGTTTGACCAAGCAATGTATCACTTGGTCAGTTTCCTCAATTTTATTAATTTCCACTGTATTTGTGTTCCATCCAATCCAGATTCTTCCAAAATGATGGCTATCATAATTTTCCAAGTAGTCCCAATTTCGAAACACATTATGCATCAACCTATCTTTATTCACACTCCTAACTTTTGTTTCAACAATTCCCAAAAGGTCAACCTGTTGGTCCACTATCAACTTCTTGGCTTCTTCCTCCTTTGAGGGCTTGTTAAGTCCTCTAATGTTCTAGCATGCAAGCTTCATTGAGGGGGGAGAACTTTCTTGAGAATTAGGTATTCAGTCACCTTAGATTTCCCCATCTTATGGGCTTTCTTTTTCACTTTCTTCTTTTTACTTCCCAGTGGATGTTTATTTCCATTTGTTTTTTCCTTCTCCTTAGTCTCCTCATTGCATAATGAGGTACTAGGAAGAGTTTCAGCATCTAGGTCCACGATGATTTCGCCTCCCTTTAGACTCGAGTCTGCAAATTTGTTCCTAGATGTAATCCTCCCAGTGTGCTGATGGGGGGAGGCAACTTGCTTCACTATGATTTATGTGACTTGAGTGTCAATCTGGGGATGCCTTTCAATCCCAGTACCAGGCACCAAAAGGTTGTCTGCAGCTCTCTTTTTATTAGTCTCCACAATTCAGTATCAAGCACTACATATGCCATTGCTCTGCCCTTGTCTATACACAAGATTGGTTGGTCTATGCATAGATTTTGAACAACAGCTTGCTCTTCCACAATAATCCTAGCCTTAGACATCATTTTGGGGCATAAGGACTCATTGTGCCCAAAAACATTACATGAATCACACATCTTGGGCTTCCATTGGTATTCTACCTTTATTTCAACAATTTCAACCATCCCATTGATATCTACATTCAAATCAAAGACTTCAATTAAAGGATTTCTGGCATTCATTTCAACATAGATTCTTGCAAAGTTTATTCTTTGTTTCTTAGAAGTGGGCGTATCAGCATATAGAGGTTTCCCAACAGCACTCGCTATGTAACTCAAGCCTTTCTGATTCCAAAATAGGAGGGCAATATTGTGGAGTTTAATCCACAATGGGATTATAGAGTGATTCTCCCCGGTTAACAATAGGTTTGGTTGCCATTTCTGGAGTATTAATGACCAACTTGATAGCAGCCAAGGTCCAAACTCAAAGATTTTTATTCTAGATTCATCATTCATGAATTTGAAGTAGTAAAATCCATTGTCTTTTGCCAATACCTCCAAAAGACCTTGACTATCCCACATCCTGTGTGTCAGGTAACTCACAGTGGTAAAAGGAAGCTTCTTTTCAATGAAGTATCCCACAAGACAATTTTTCTATTCAAGACATCCTTGCTTACCAATTTCTTAAGGGGGATGGACCACAATTCTATTATTTTCCATTTTTGACTCAAAACATTGGAGTTTCATTACCTGGGTTTGACTTTCATTCTGACTGGCAAAGTGGTTTGTTGCTCGTCCTTCTATAAGGACTTGGTTTCAAGGTGCTCTAGGTCCGGGGTGTTTTTGCTGGGCCTCCGACAGGTTAGGTTGAGTCTTTGTCCGGTTTTGCTTGTCTTTTGGCAACACATCAACATCTACTAGCTTTTTTGAAGTTTCACCGCTAGATCTCGATATATCAATAAGAGGAATTTCGCCAATCGCCACCTCCCCTGTTTGATCCTGTGTTTGTCCTGTTATTCCCTTATCTCTTGAGTGGCTTCCAAGTGGAGCATTAGAGCTCAGTTCCTTTGTCCCATCTGGGTTCACTTTGGCATTTACACGAGCTTTTGGTAGCTCAGTAATTCTAGATCTACAAACAATCTTGGCTTTAATGGCTAGANAGCTTTTGGTAGCTCAGTAATTCTAGATCTACAAGCAATCTTGGCTTTAATGGCTATAGGGTCCTTGATTCAAATGTGGTGGTAAAGCAAGGTAAGTGGGGAATAAAGAGGGGTTTTGGGTCTGTGAGAAATAGATAAAGGAGTAAACAGAGAGAGAAAGGGAAGGTGGAATTGGGGGTGGGTTGGTATCCAATTTGTATGAACGACAAACGGAATCAGTGGTGAAGGTGGATTGGGTGGGTTTCATGGTGGCTTAGAGCCAAGAGCACTCATCGTGTTAGGGTATTTTTTTTTCTTCAATTCTTGACTTGTGCTAGACTCTTCCAATGCATAGTTCCAATGTACACATGAACATATCTTTAATTTGAGTTGGGTCCCAATTAGAAGATATAAGAAGGGACACCTAACATTTTCTTGGTAGTTATTGCAACTGTTGGAGTTTTGCTGAATGTCAATAAAGAATAACAGTAGTTAAAATGCCTTAGCTATAGTGTTAGCAACTATCTACAAATAGTCCCATATCCTTATCCTACAAATTTGAACACATGTTCTTGATACATCATTCATGTATCTATTCATGTTAATGATCCCTACCACTATAACATTCATAAAAGAGGCTTGGACTTTTTCAAACAGTTGGAGGGGAGGACCACATTCTAAATTCCACTTGCTATGCTAGTATATTTTCACGAGTTAAAGCATTACACACGTGCTATGGATTGTTATGCTTCACTTTGCATCCTCCAAGAGTGACAATGAGTTGTGTTTTGATTTATTCGGATCTGTCAAAATTTCCTCAATCACAATTCACTAATCGACTTGTGCAAATTCAATTTCAACTTGTGTTGTATATAATACATAGTTAAGTTCCTAGTATGTTGTAATTATGTTGTGTATAAGCCATATTTAATTGATTCTACGTCTCCATTTATTAAACGAGTTTGACAGACATAACAATTCATTACTCGAGTTGTATGATATTATCTATGGTAATCAGGATATGAAATTTTTTGATTCCCCTCGATGATGCTGATCTTTTTGCTCATTAAATTCCCATCATTTGTATTTGGTTGGATGTCCTTTTTAGTGGTAAATAATTAAGCACGGGTTCTTCAAGTCACACCACAACAGCTAGCAGTGTGCATGACTATTTGGCAACCCTACCAGCTTCTCCATAATCCATATTGAAGATGACATCCAGAGCAATAGTGGGTGGGTTTTCGTAACACTCTCTCTTTTGTTTAGGCTTTTCAGAGAAACCTAGCTTTTCAGAAAAACTTATGCTCTTTGGTATAATGGAAAAATAAGAGGAAGAAAAGTTGAAAGAATGAAAAAGTTAATGGATTAATTTTCCTTCTAACTCACCAAAATCTTATGTATATATATTTTAAAAAAAATATATATCTCACCAAAGTTATGGAAAGTTAATTATTTGTATTGAGATGTATATTATTTGTCTAAATATCTTATGTATATTTTAATTTCATATAAAAATACAGTGGTAAAATATGTATATATATTTAAAAAAAAATTAAAAATTAAAAATATGAAAATTTTAAAATTAAAAAATTAAATAAAAAAATAAAAATAAAAATAAAAAAAATAAAATAAAAATTTTAAGTTAAAAAAAAATATTTTTTTCCATCTTAATTAAGAGTAAAAATTTTCGACTCAACACAATGACACGACTCGAACTCGATACGCAAATAAATAGGTCAACTCGCAACTCGATACGACACAATTAGTTAAATGAGTTATGTTAGGTTTGATTAATATTCGATACAAACTCGTAATGATTCAACACGAATTTGACACGATAAGACTCGACTCTATTGTCACCTATAATCTTAGCTAGTTTAAAAAAAAATAATTATTTTTATTTTTCATCCATTCAACCAAACATTAAGGAAGAAAAATGTATCTTTCATATTTTTCATCTTTGAAGGATAGAAAATATATTCCTTCTACTTTCCATCTTCCCTACCAAACGGAACCTTAGGGAGAGATTTTGACATAAATGTAAGTTTGGTCTATTGTGTTCTTGGAATCGTTGGCTCGAGTTCAAGGGACATGAAGAATCTCTCCGTATGCAAAGTATCTCGATGACAGAAATTTTGTATAGGGAGACTTATTAGACAATAGTCGAAGGAGACGGTCCTAAGACCCCTAGCCCTTTGTAGGCCATGCTTTAAATGGATTTGATGACTTCGAAAGACGTAAAGACTACTTTATGGTTTCTACTTGCATTGTGATTAGGGAGGCGACTCGAATCAGTGAAGCGGGTTGAAAGATTAATTCGAATTAAACTGTTTTTATAATATAGTTAATTTGAGTTTAGTTGAAACTCGAGTTCAACTCAAAACTTTCAAGGTGGGTGGTGCCATGTTCAAATCTTGAACTTGGGTTGAGCTCGTTACACTAATTTGGGTTTGAATCGAATTTAATTTGGGTTTAATTCTCAAATTACTCAACTCAGATCAGAATACAATTTTTATGATACAATTCGGGTTCAACCTGCAACTTGGGCTAGAATAGAGATTTCTTTTGGGAATTGTCTGGTTAGTAAGAAAAAGATGATGGAAAGGTGAAAGAGATATAAAGTAAAGTGAAAGAAAAAAAAATGAAAAAAAATATATTTTCATGCATGCAATTGGTTAATATGAAAAACTTCTAAGAAAATTTTAAAACAATTTCATTCCATTGTTTGAAAAAATGAAAGTTATAAAAAAAATTTTAATTGTCTAAATTATCCTCAATTATTTTAACTCGGTCAAAAGAAGAAGAAAAAATATTTTTTATTATCCAAATTTAAAAAAAATTAGATCCTAACCTAATTTAGGAACAATGATTGACTCGAACCCTGATCTCTAGACAAAATTATATAATTAGCTTAATTTGTACAAAGTTTTTTAAAATTAATAACTAATTAAATATTTTAAGAAAAATAAGGGTAAAATTGAAAGTTAGGTTATTGAACAAAATTTTCATTGTTTTTTTGTGTGTTTTTTGCAAGAAAAAAAAATTAGTTAAATCTGAGAAAATCTATGGAAGAAAATTATTATTTTTATTATTTTTTATTTCATGCTAAACAAGTAAAATTTTAAAATTTTATTTTTTTTTATTTTTTAACATTATTTTACAAAACAAACGGACCTTGGATTGGGAAGAGAGGTTCTCTCTTTGGTTGCACTTGCACTAGGTTCATCAAAGAGAGAAAAGAAAATAATTGGGTTTAAGCCCACGAACCCTATTCCACCAAAAACAAATAAAACTTCAAGCGGGCACACAATAACAGTGCACATACATTTGATGGCCCAAAGCTAATTGGGCTACAAATAGATAAAAAGGGCTTAGGGAGGTCGGTACCTTCTAAAAAATTTAATAGGATAAAAATATAATTTTTAAAATAATTGAGATAGAAGTACATATGCTAAAAAAAGTCATAAAAGCCCTTTTACCCCTACCATAAATAGTGCATATCTAATTGAATGTGAGACTTTCAAAATTTTTTTTGATATTTGTGTATCATTTGAATTTTGAAATTTCATATATATATATATATATATATATAGACACACACACACACACATGTAATATATTGACATCAAACAGTAACACGCTCAACAAAAAAATAATAACATCAAACAATGACACGCTTAACAAAAAAAAGAATAATATCAAACAATAACACACTTAACAAAAAATTAGTAACATCAAACAATAATACACTCAATAAAAAAATAATAATATCAAATATTAACACAAATATTTTTGTTGAGCGTGTCACTGTTTGATGTTACTCTTTTTTTGGTTAAGTGTGTCACTATTTAATGTTATTATTTTTTTGTTGAGCGTGTCACTGTTTGATGTCACTGTATTACGTTTGTGTGTGTGTGTGTGTGTGTATATATATATATATATATATATGAAATTTCAAAATTCAAATGATACACAAATATCAACAGAAATCTTGAAAGTCTCACATTCAAGTAGGTATGCACTATTTATGGTAGGGATAATTATGTAATACATTTTAGAAAGAATGAGAATGTTTTAAAATGTGTACTTATTGACAACTATTTGATGAAAAAGATGACTTAAAGGAGGATAAGTTTAAAAGAATGAGAATGTTTTTAAAATGTGTACTTATTGACAACTATTTGATGAAAAAGATGACTTAAAGGAGGATAAGTTTAAAGGTGGTATTTAAAGTCAAATAAGTTTTAAAAAAAGTATTCACATCCTATTATCTCTAGATAAAACCAAATAGTTGTTCATGCAATGCATATATATATATATATTTTTTTTGGGAAAATTGGGGGATCGATCTACTTTTTTAAAACTTATTTGGCAAAAAATTCACTGAGAAACTTTGTTTGGCTTTAAGTCCATATCGATCTCTATTATTCAAAATAACCTCATTACATCTAATTAAAATAGATTTGAAAACTAAAACTTCTAAATTTTTGAGTTTTTCTCACATTAAAACTCTTTTTCTCATATCGATCTGTATCCATATACACAAAAGTAACCAAATTTAAACTAATTCAAATTCAAAATTCTTTAATTTTAGATCTTTCGTATATAAAGACTATTTTCTCTCTCATATTATATATACATATACGTACCCATAAAAACTATCCTGTTGGATGCCATACTCATACTGGAAATGAAGATCAATGATGGCTCTATCAATCGTCATATACTTCAAAGATAAATTCTAAAGCATTTTTCAAATACTAGAGTTTAGTCTCTTCGTACAAATTAGTGAATCAGGCAGAATGTTTTTGTGCGGAATTTTTTAACATTATTAACAATAATATAAGATAATAAGATTGAATAGTAATATAAATTAATAAATATTGAACAATAACATAAAACAGTAACATGAAATAACATTATAAAATACCATTTATCCTCCTTTCATTAATTAGGAAAAATAGTAACATGATATAGTAACACAAGCGTATCTCATCCTCCTTTCATTAATTAGGAAAAATAGTAACATCATGAAGTAATACAATAAATGAGTAATATTATATACTACCATCTATATCCGTCATTTCAGCAACATATAATAACACAAGTGTACCCTCATCCTCCTTTCATTAATTAGAAAAATAATAACATCATAAAGTAACATCAAGAAATCAAAAATATTATAAACTACCATTTATAGATTATGAGTATTTTGTAAGAAACATCACATATTCAAAAATGATCAGAGTCAATTGAAATTAGTAATATGATAACCAATAACTCGGTCTTGAAACAATAACAAGATTTAGTAACATAGAAATCAATTGAAATTACCAAAGCAAATATACAATTTTAATTTGGTTTTTCTTTTGTCAAACCACAAATTGAAAATTTTGAAGCTACATGAAACAATAACATGAACACAATGGTGACTAAAACAATAATATTTAAAATCAAAGACAATAATATTGAACATACTTGGAATATGTGAAAGGGATACTCAAACTCAAAGTAGAGTCCCGTATATATAGCCAAAAATAATACAGAGTGACTTAAACATCCTTGTAGTTTAGGCAAAATATAAAAATCATAGTAAGGGTAAAAAAGGGAAAAGAAATCCTAATAAACCTAGACTACTATCTATACTCCAACACTCCCCCTCAAGCTAGGCGCAAAAATGTCAACTAAGCCAAGCTTGACAACGGAGTCCCGAAGAATAGACAGAGTGACAGGTTTGGTAAAAACATCCGCAACTTGATCACTGGTCCCCACAAACGATGGAGTAACAAGACCACTGCTGACCTTCTCCCGAAGAAAGTGAACATCGATCTCTATATGCTTCGTTCTCTCATGTAGTACAGAGTCAGAAGCGAGCTGAATAGCAGATTGATTATCACAATATAATGTGGATGGAGAGGTCACTGAAAAACCCAACTCGTCAAGAATCGA